CCTCCAGCGCTGCTCCTACTGACTGGCGCACAAGCACAACAACACTTCCACGCATTGAAGCCAGTGGAGATCTGGTGAGGAATGAGGCTGGCTGCTGCTTTTATAGTGCCGGCCTCTCCTCGTTGGGTCTGCATTTGGCTGCTTCAGGCCCTCCTTTGTCCCAGACCCTGCATTGCATGTGTCCCAGTACAGTCCCAATGAAGTCAACTGCTGCTGAGGCCTCTCGGCTAGGATTTGGACTTTAGATGTCTGGATCTGGACTGTCTCCTCGACTTAGACCAGAACTGGGACTTTACCTATTGACTTACTTTCAGACAAGCACAACATTAGACGAACAGACACACTCACTGCCTGAACAGACACTCACATTGTGTGAACAGACACACTGACTACACGTACAGACACACCCTTATCCGAATAGACATGACATGTATACCTCTTGACGAGCAGGTATGTCCCTCGGCAATGACCTTTGCTTTAGGTTAGGATGTGCCTTTTGATATAGAACTGGACCTTTGACCTGCTGTCACGTTTCTGGGTCGTGGCGAGATACCCCTTTACAATGCTTTACTTTTACAAGGCCTGTATCGGGTAAAGGCCCTTTTACAACAACCAATAACAAGAAGAAACCTCCGAGGATAACAATTGGAATTAAACTGATGATGAGCCAACTCAAACCAAATATCGTTACAGAGTTTGTTCCAGTATCTCGCCACTTTCAGAACCCCACACTCCACTCTCTACCCTACACCCAGTTAGTAGTGCCCAACCGAAACAGCCTCCCAGAGGCCAGCACCAACCACCCAGATGAAGAACAAATCTTGCGATGAAGTCTTCAGTGTCGATGGACAACTTTGACGAAGAAACAGGCAGCTATGGCTGCCGCCACCCACAAACACTCAGTGAGGAGCCTCAAAATAGCCCGGCCAGACGCAGATACCCTCAGGGGTAGATGCGTTGAGGATGCCCCAGCTCCGGCAACCTTCAGAGGGCCAGCTATGGCCGCCGTCCACAGCAAGGGACTCGGGATGCCGCCTGTAGACAATTGCCACCCCCAACTTACTTGGCTTCTCCAAACACTGCTTCGCGAAAAAATGAACAGCCCCCCCCATCCCCAACCAATTTCCCTAATCTATTAATAGCTCTAGCCTACTCTAACCTAGGCCTAGACCTGACCGACTGGACCGACCGGTACCGTTCCAGTTTCAGCCTCTCGGCCTCTACCTACCCGGCTATAGGCTATAGGACCGTCTATCAGTATAGGCCCTTTGCACCTGTCCGTCCTAGGGGTAGCCCGGGTCTGCTATACGCAGTGCGGATAATTGTAGGAAATTCGGGTTAGTGCTAGGCCTATATTTCCCATATTTGCAGATATGTCCCTCATGAATTTCCCATACAGGTAGGTCTCTCGGTTAACCCTCAGCCAAACAAAATTACAAATCTAGCCTACCGCTGCTACTGTACAGCCTCGCAGTCAGTCTCGGCAGTTGAAATCAGCAAGTCATTGCAGGCTTACCCCCCCGGGGAGCGAGGACCACTGAGCTAGGGATGCAGACGAGGTGAACGGTAAGGAAGGTTGCCCTTCTGAGCCACTTCATATCGTAAAACAACTGACTTTGCTGTCTTGAGAAGTTCCATTCTGTAGAACCATCTGTTCTAAGGAGGAGGCTGAAAAGCGAACCTCACAAGATACTGTCGATCGGGGCATGTGCCCCACTCATCCTCAATTCATTCCACGTCATACCCCTTGCCAGGGATCGGTGGACCGAATCGAGGGGGCCGGTCAGGGAATGCATCAGCTGGAGTAATTGGAAGCAGCTTAGATGCATGGAAGACCGGGTAGGTTCGTAGATGCAGCGGGACGTCGATGACATAAGATGGACCGAATGGATTGGCGCCCACTGTATCTAAGACCTGCCATGGACCTAAGTAACGAGGCAACAGCTTGGGGGAGATATCCTCCTCCCTCGACAACTCAGAACTGGCTACCCAGACATAATCACCAGTGCGGATGGTGGAAGGCTAGCTTGTTCAATTATTGCCTTTTGGGCTTTGAACAAGTTCACCCGTGCTCTTTCCACATCTATACGGTAGCGTCTGGTGAACTCTGCAGTGCCTGGTGTCAGGTCCGACTTAGCCTTATCGATGATATCATCGAGAGGTTGTTGTGGTTCACGTCCCCAGTGCAGCCGGTATGGACTGAACCCAGTCTAGGAGTGGACAGACATGTTATAAACAAGTTGTGCCCGAGCCAAGTGGAGATCCCAATCCTGCTGATCTGGAAAGATGACAGGACGCAGCAACTGGAATAAGACTTGGTTCATCACTTCAGCCTGACCATTGGCTTCAGGATGATGACCAGAAGTCATGTCCAATCGTGAGTGCAGGTAATCCTTACAGTAGGACTGCCCCTCATCGCTGCGAAATCGGGGGTCTCTATCACTGTATAGAAGTGGGTGGTCCATGGTGTGTGACCCACCTCTCTAAAAAGGCTGCTCTCACAACCGGGACTCTAGCTACCTCTGGTAAGCGGCTGAACTCTGTGTATTTGGAGAACCTGTCCACGCAGACCATGACCTGACGCATGCCACGAGGGGTGGTCTGGCCTAAGTCTGTGAAGTCAATCGACACAGATTCAGCACGGCCATCAAGTCTGGGTAAGGGTTTGAGTAGTCCAAGAGGAGGTCTACGCTGGACCTTATTCCTCTGACAAAGCTCACAGGTTTCCACACAGCGCAGCATCTCACTCCGCATCTCCTTCCAGAAGAAGCGTTGCGACAGGGCTGCATACGACTTTAAGAACCCAAAGTGTCCGCGGGCATCATGGGACTCTGATATCAGCAGTGTCCCGAGTCGCTGATCCTGGGG